CATAGGGCCATGTGCGTTGTAGCACCGCCACATGGCACTGTCCACCTGCGCTTTCAGACAGAAGCAATGAAGGCAGGAAGATAAGATGAATTCCCTCTTTACAGCTGAATATGCACTCCACCAACTCGATCTCTGGTATTCGGAGTTTCAAATCTTGTTTAGCTGCTTCTTTCTAGAAATCACAAATTCTAATAAACTTTTGAGGAGCCTTATTTTTCTCGAAATTGACGAATATTCTCGCTTTCTTTTTTTACCGATGAACTACACCAAAAGCTTCGTCCAAAAGAATTCACCCCTTGAGAGACATTCAGATAAGCTAAGGTATTTGAATGAATTTACTCAGAGATTGCTGTTGAAGGAAAGTGCTGGCTTCTGGCTCTCTAGACCTATTGTATTCCATTCCACTAATCTGAGACTTTGAGGCAGTGTTTCTCTCCCATTCCCACTGTATGATATGAACCTGTAATCATCGTATACATGAAATATTTTAAAGAACAGCGAGTACTCAACATTGAGGCAGATTGACACCTCAGGTTGCTACATGACCTTGCAGACTAGCAGACCAGATATATTGGAAACATTCACGGCGCTACTCGAACGAAGTTTGGGTATAGTTCACCGGTAAAAAAAAGAAAGCGAGAAAATTTGCCCGGTTCTGAGGAAAATGAGGCTCCTCAAAAGTAGGGAACATAGAGGATGGACGAGGTTACCATGGCGGAAATAACATGAAGTGGTATTCGGGCGCGATTTCAGTTGTTGCAATTGCACAAAGAGCTGACTACATCGAGCCAGAACTGTACAGAACTTCTTCCACTGGCGCTATGGGTCATGCTCCGAGGATACACACGGTACGATCTTTGGACTCATTTCTCGAATTTTCCTCGAATTCATCTTATGGGGAAATCTCGGAAACCAATGTCATCGTGAACTGTGCCTTTAATTTCACTTGTAACTCAGGAAAGTCTAATTCAACTGCTCCTCACTGCAGAATTTTGAGCCGGTTGGTAACGAATCTATGTGGAGCGACCCCAGGTCCCAGGATAGGAGATTATATCGTGGACAATAGCAGCCAAAACACGGTCAGAGTCGCAGTTGAATCAGACTTTTCGTTTCTGCTGTGCTGAGTCAATTTACAACTTCTGTATCCCGCAGGTGTATCCCTGCGGAGAGTATGGAGAGTCCTTGGGTGCGGTTTGTACCCTGCACATCGGCTCATTCAGAAGTTTGTATTTGTATGACCGCAAGTTTTTGAGAGGCGATTCGGAGCCATTTCCAAATCAACATTAAGCCCCTCATTCACCCTGGAATCGCCGGATTAGCTGTCCGGAGCCTATAAGTCTGCCAAAAACAGTAATATAAATGGGCCCCATTCACATGAAGGAAGTTCCCTACACGGTAGCGTTGAGTAGGACCGCTCAAGGGAGGCTACTGAAATCTAAAGGCGAAAACGAGCTGCCCAAAAGGAATAGGATTAAGAGGGCGGTCGGTAGTTGCAACGCATGAACGCTTGCATCGAAAACTTATGTCGAAGATCTGATGATGCGCTCCAGGGCAATCAAGTACGACATTATCGGGCTGACAGAGATGAGAAGGTTGACCCTCTGCAAGAATGGAGAATAACTGTCAACATGTGATAGCAGAGGCGTCGGCGGTGGAGGTGTCTTCGTCTGCACGCACTCTGTCATGAACACCGATTCGCTGAAAGCGAAAGCTTGCAACCCGAATCGGACGTTGGCGATCGAGAAAATGTGGCTCAATCCCAGCTTTAACTATCTTCGTTGCCTACAAAAATAAACAAGCTACAAAGGAGAGAAGATGAAAGCTTTTCATAATCCTGAAAAAGTCTGTAGAAAATACCATACTCTCCTCATGGTTATCGCCGGACTAGGGGTTTTCGACGCCCCGTGAACGTGTAATACAGTAACCCCCTGGTACCCCACACCCACGCCAGTGGGCTTCACCCGGGATACCTTTCCTTTGCGTCGTATATGTGACGGGTGTTTGGAGGCGCTTCAGCGTGTATCCGGGTTACTGTGTAACACATCCACGAGACGACTCAATCCGTCTTGTTATCGTCGGTGGCTTCAGAGCCAAGGTTGGCCCGGGAAGATCGGCTCAGAGCTACATTTTGGGACTTACGGAACGGACCAGAATGGAGTGCCCAAAATTATTATGTCAACCCACACCGCTCAGAATTCCTCTTACACGAAAGTACACAATGAAATCCGTAAATCCACGCACAACCTGGCTCACACAGGCAGACATGGTCCAAACAGTGCCCTGGTTATACAGTAACCTGGCTCATACAGAAATTTGGCTTATACAGTAACCACAACTGCGGCTTATACAGTGACCCGGTTCACACCGTAATTCGGCGTATACGGTAGCCTGGCTGCTTACGAAGTGACCCGGATAATACAGTAAGCCGTCTCGCACAGTAACCTGACCATACAGTAACCTGGTTCATACAGTAACCTGGTTCATACAGTAAGCCGGCTAACAGAGTAATCCAAATAATACAGTAACTCGTCTCACACAGTGGCGTGGCCATACAGTAAACTGGTTCATGCAGTAAACTGGCTCATACAGTAATCTGACTGGTACAGTAACTACAGCCACAGCTTATACAGTGACCCAGCTCACACCGTAATCCGGCGTATACGGTAGCCTGGCTTGCACATAACGCTGCTTACAAAGTAACCCGGATAATGCAGTAAGCCGCTGGCCATACAGTAACCTGGTTCATACAGTATCCTGGCTCATACAATATGCCGGCTAACACAGTAATCCGAATAATACAGTAGCTCGTCTCACACAGTGGCCTGGCCATACGTAAACTGGTTCATACAGTAACCCTGCTCATACAGTGGTCGCCTAATACAATAAGCCGTTTCACACAGTAACCTGGCCATACAGTAGCCCGGCTTGTACGGCCTGGCTTGCAGAGAACCCTGCTTACACAGTAACTCAGATAATACACTAAGCCGTCTCTCACAGTAACCCGGCCGTACAGTAACTCGTCTCATACAGTATGTCGGCCCACACAGTAGCGTGTCCATACAGAAAATTGGTTCATACAGTAACCCGACTAATACTCGGCTCCCACAGTGACCCGGATAATTGTAGCCTAGCTCACACGGTGAATCGGCTCTCACCGTAAACCTGCTATTACAGTGTACCGTCTCACGCAGTAACCTGGCCCATACAGTAGCCCAGTTGATTATTAACACAGTTCACAAGGCAGTTCGTCTTACCAGGTAAACTGATCTATTCAGTAACTTGGCCCACACAGTACCCAGCTCACGCAGTAACTGAGTAAATTCCTCGGGAGATCAGACGAATACCAACGGCTGCCAGCGCGATGGTCAGACCTTATCAGGGAGCTGAACGAAAGGAATGTCATGCCTCGTGCCCCTTGGGAGAGAACGATTCAACGGGCTACTCTAGCTCGAGATCGGGACGAATGGAGACGTTACTGGCGCTCGCTCGAAGAAATCGATGATCAGCGAGAGGACGGGAGCAAAAGGTGAATACTACATGAATGAGAGTTCATTCTTCAGATGACAAGGTGTGTTCTGCTCTCGCAATGGTTGCAGGAGAATGAAGCTTTGAGTCTTTACTCGAAGCCTAAAGTTTACTCGAAAGAAACCGTAAAGACTATGTGATGGTGTGCTAGATATGTAGACCCCCACCGCTTAATGAAAACTGGCAAGTTTATCCTCCGCAGAGAAACATTGCAATGAACTGGATCAAATGCATCAGGAACTCTAACTGTAACTGCCATCGGTAGATAGAAAGCACCACTAAACGATGGTGCTCGCCACATATCCCAGAGGCAGTGCTAATGGACGAAATAAAAGTAATCGGAAATCAATCACCGGAAGTTGGATTAGTAAAGCTAAAACATTTGTGCAGAGCAGTTAAGCAAAATTGTGTTTCATCGGCAATGATGCGTAGAGTATTATAAATGGTTCTATGAATAAAGAGACTTCAGGGGCATGTGCATTCTGAATTGAATGCATGAAAACGCGCTTCATATCTAACCATATACTGTCTGATGTCTCTGATCTGCCTGATTCAATTTTTTTCGGAAGTAAATTCGGAAAAGAAGAAGATTGGGAAGGGCAATGTCAAATGCGATGGTCTTGATAGGAGTCTTCTTCCCCAAATCATATCATATTCTATCATATTATATCACTGCATATCATCCCAAACGATGTGATTATGGGTGGCCGTAAATTTAATTCAGAAAGAGTACTCGCCTGACAGGTTGGAGAAGGAGTCGCCAAGTTTGTTGCTGGACAGAGTTTATACTTTCATGATAAATTAGAGACAGTATCGGCTATGGTTGGGCCATGAACCGACTGCGGATACTGCAAAAGCCTCCAACACAATTCTTTCTCTAAATGACGGAGGGGTAAAGTATTTTCGATTTGAGACGACGTTTTTATCATCGCGCTTCTACCGTATCTCTTATCCAGGCCAAAATATGAGAAAAATAAAGTTTTTATTTAAATGATATGCACATAAAAGGGCCAGATTAAACTTATATATGGGCACATTTCAATATTTGGAAGTGATTTCAACGGAAAGAATCTGTTCAACGAAAAACCACCGGTACTCGAGTAGACATGGATGATCATGGCAGTTAAACAAAAAAGAAATGGAAAGCTTCTCAGTGAGAAGGAGGAGAACTCAACAAACAACGGAATCCCCACGACGTCGTCACGAGGACCGAAGCTTAACCCAACTTCCCATTACAAAGTTGAGCGACAAAAAATAGCTGTAGGGTCGTATGCTTTTAGCATTAACAATTACCGGATTAACAATAATAATGTAACCAAAAGAAGGACTCCAAATCGGAGATCAGCTGTAGTGGAAGAGGAATCGTCGATTGATGACTGTGGACCAAGCCGAATTGTACGGGGAGGGCTAAGCGGACCTATGCCACCAGAATTGTACCCGGCTATCTGTAATGAGGTGGTTTACCGAACGAATGAAGAAGAAACCAGAAAAAAANAAAAAAAGGTACTGACCTGGATGGTATACATGTACATTAGGCGCAGACCGTCTATCCGAGCGCTGGGTCGTTCTGGATTCGATAGACGACTGATTGGCATTGTTAGTACAACAGCTTCAGAAGCCGTTTCAGACACGTAAACGAAAATCTGAAAAAGTCTGACTTTTTTGATGATGAGCGGTTCATAAATCCGGCATATGCAGCTCTACAAAGAGTCCTGACAGCAAGTTTGCTGTAATCGTCCTATAGGGACACCCAGCGGAGATAGACCTAGTGCAACAGCCGGCGATAATACTTACCTTGTATCCACGAGTGGCGTCGCTAACGTTCTTCTGAGGAAAGGGTATTGCTGACCATTCGATTATAGTCGTATAGCCGACGTCATCTCCCTATAAAAGTGTATTAGCATTTAAACCCCCTCCAGATTACGAGGATCTCCTGATTACCGTAGTTCTTAACGAGAGTTTACTGATCGACGGTGCATCAGAAGGCGGCTGGTGCTCCGTCACGACTTCCACAGGACTGCTGTACTCACCGTAGTCATCCTAAGTGAATCACCTATTAAAAGCATTCTAGAAAGAATAGAATTTTTTCAAAAACCAACCTCGCCATTCAAAGGCCTCAATACGCATTTGTATTTGGTGTCAGCATTCAGTTCGCCAAGGATCCATTCGGAAAACTCGCCCGAGATAATTACAGTTCGAGGATCATTCTCTGACGAAGTGCAGGAGAGCTGTAAGTGGCAGCAATAAGGAAGGCAGTGAGCAAAGACATTCGGCAAAACCCTCAGTTGTGCAGGCCACCTTCCTGATAACATCCTGATCATTACACAAACCAAGCTAAAAAATACCTGAACGGCATGCGCTCTCCCACACTCGTTTGTTTCTTCCCACTCCCATGAAAACGAGACATGAGTTGAATTGAGTACGGTGGCGTTCGTGAACGAAACTCGCCTTGGTTCACCTAAAAATTTATACTTTAGTGATGAAGAATATTTTAACCAACCCCGGTCGGGGATAGAGAGCATCCAGACGTAGCGAAAGCTCTGAGAGGGGTCTGAAGACCATTTCTCTAGCACTAAGGATTTCTGCTGGTGTTCCATAACTGCTAACCTACCTTTGCTATTCACAAACGCCACCGTATCCGTACTGATCGCTCCAACTCCTTGATCATTCACAGGCCTCACTGAGAAAACCAGCATTCGACAGTCCTCAGTGGCATTCAGACGAACGATTGCTTGCGGAGTATTTGTATCTGCAATTACGAGAATGTATTATATTATAGAACGGCTTCACATCGAGTAAGCTACTAGTTCTCACCAATATGATGCGCAAGGAACTTGCGCTCTTGGGATGACGGGTCTTGCATAGTCTCTTTGTCAAGCGACCAGGATAGACGGTAGCGCAGATGATCACCTGATTGGTGTGCCTTAAATGGAATCTATTATCCTGCAGATTCTAAACCAAAACCACAATGCGAGAAAAAACCGATAAAAAAATCCCCGCCCAGTCTTTCAAACTCTGGCTGGTCGGCTGCATCTGGCATTCTTCTGATCGGTTTTATTTNGGATGACGGGTCTTGCATAGTCTCTTTGTCAAGCGACCAGGATAGACGGTAGCGCAGATGATCACCTGATTGGTGTGCCTTAAATGGAATTTATTGAGCCCACAGATTTTGACCCGTAATGTGAACAGGAGAAAAACCCGATCAGAAGGACCCCGTTCAGTTACCCACACCTTAGTTGAACGGCTGCTTCAGTCATTTTCCCGTTTTCATTTGAAGAACCTCACCGTTTCTACAGGATCCCATTCGACCAGAATTGTAACGTTGTCTAGCGCCTTCCACTTGAGGCTTTCCACAGCTTCAGACGGCGGAGCAGGGGGCGTCTTTACCCACGTCGTCGGCGAGGATGGATCTCCTAACATCGATGTGTCCACCGAACGAACTCGGAACTAAATTTCAACTCGAAAATTTGAAGAATTATATAAAAAGTATTTCGTTAAGTTCCAAAAATAAGGCCGAATTCCCTAAATTACCCAACTTTTAGAGCTGAAATTCATGGTGCTTACCTGATATAAAGTGTTTGGTGTCAGATCGCTCAATGTCACACTCTGCGGTTCACTTTCGGCAACGACTTCTCGTGGTGCTGGCCTCCAATATCGGTCTTCTTTGGTCCTCAGTTCTACTAGGTATCCTCCCGATAAGTCGTTCTGTAAGGAGCAGTATGAATGGGTGCTGGTTGGAAAAATTATCATTATATCGATTCAATAATAATATTCTAGCAGTATAGCCAAGAGTTCCAAAATTAAGCTACAATTAGCCTCACCTCCCCACTGATAGCATGATTCCTTGTGTCTCGATGGGTGTTCGTCTTCTTCCATGCTAATCGAACAGTA